CACAGACCAGGGCAGTCACCTAGCTGCATAAACACTCCTATCTATCCTAGAGTTCTGCACAGCAAGTTCTAGAAACAGAAGTCTGTAAGGCTTTTTTTTCCCCAGGTTTTTCCAACGCTGAGAACACAGACAGTCTTATTCGCACTAACCTTTTGGAAATTACCTTAGCTTCTGTACCCAAAAATCTAATCCAATTCACACGAACTTGAAATTAAACTACAGTAGTCAGTTCAACTCCTTTATACTGCTTTGCTCTCTGTCACACTTGAATAAAGAATGTGGCAATGAAATGAATATGTCCAGTTGTTCCATAGTGTTTCTCCATCCCCTGTCAAACAACAGAATACGTTTGTACAAGTCAGGCCTAAGACAAAAGTGGAGTCTGTGTCCACAGACTCCCAGAGAACTCCTGGAGAATGCAATGAGCTGGCTTCCATGCAGCCAGAATGTGAAGCCGGGACAGCCTGTTTCACTTCTCCGTTTTTTTTCACACCCAGTCTCTCTCAACCTCAGGCAGATCTAGCTGTTACCTTACTTACATTCATTTACATCTAGTCATCCTCACTGTACTCATAATAAACAACAGTGTTCCAACGCCTGAACTCACCACAGTCAAAAATTAACAAAAGGATTGGAAAAATCCAGAATGTGGAAATACCCAGAGCACACAGGTTCACAACATGCTCAGTATCAAGAGTCATGTTGAGAAACAGAGATTTCTCCTCCAAGTTATCTAACTAGCCCTGGCACTCCTGGGCTCTCTGGCAACATGGCCTGGGACCGCCTCCGACCTCCCTCCCCTCTGCCTACACACCTAGGTGGCTCCAGGTCTCCTCCCTCAGGCATCCTCGCCTTCCAATTGCATCATAGCTTTCCACCAAACTCCCTGAAACATTTTTTGAGTTCACCCTCACTCCTCTATAAAAAAAAGTCCTTAATAAATGTTCTCTGTTGATGGCCTACTTAGTCACAAATCCTATTCTCTTACGCTTGGTTTTGACTGATGAGTTTATTATCTATACAGCTTTCAAGTTAGATGCGTTGCCCAAACACACACACACTTCCATTTGGCTTACTTCCTCCTGCTGCTTAACTAACACATTGCCTGGGCAGAACTCCTTGGAAGCTAATAATTTGCTGCCTCTACTTTGTGTCATATAATCTCCTAGAGATTATAAAGCACAGCCATCTCATTTTACCCAGAAGGAAATGTGGTGACCTAAGTTGGGCGGAGGAGTAAGCCAATTAATGATCAAACAAGACAACTCTGGCACCAATTTCTCTCGACCCTTCCCAGAATAAAACATGTCACTTTTGTCAGATTCCGTGTGTATGCACTAGCAATCATTTTGAGGTGTGTAACTCAACATCCTCCCTACCCTATAGCAGACAACTCCTGAAGAGGCAGAGAAATCTATTCATCAGCAAAGAACGTGCTGTGTATTGGCATGAGTCAAAAACCAAGCTACCGACAAAAAGATGCCATGTTGACTGCATGAATAACACTCACAGTGATGCCTAAAAAGAGATGCGATCCTTTTTGACTGCTCCAGTCAACCATTCCCTCCCAAAGTTCACCTAATTCTGCCACCAGAATGAAGCAGTACATATTTTGAAAGGTCTGCTCTTAAATAGGCATGAAAATGAAAAAAAAGACTGGAAAACACCAGAAAGTTATGGCAAAGTCATTAAAAAATTCATCATTTATTTCTTGATTCCAGTGACAAAATGCAGGCATAACTATTTCTCTGGTGAGGTGAAATTTAAGGATGAATTTTATGCTCAACAAGAATGGCTTCTCAATTGGATTCTTGTAAATATTCACACGTGGTTAACCATACAAAACTGTAACAAACACATCAAGTTTTCCCCATTTCATCTAAGTCTACCCACAGTAAACACCATGACACAGGTACTTCTGTGCCAAGTGTGGAGTTGTTTTCTTTAATTATTATTATTTTTTTTTAGCGACAAGGTCTCACTCTATTGCCCAGGCTGGAATGCAGTGGTGCGATCATGACTCACTGCAGCCTTGAACTCCAGGGCTCAAGTCGTCCTTCTGCCTCAGCCTCCAGAGTAGCTGGGACATGCACCACCACACTGAGGTAGGCTAATTTTTTTTTAGTTTAGTTTTTGTAGAGACGGGTGTCTCACTATGTTGCCCAGGCTGGTCTCAAACTTCTGGGCTCAAGTGATCCTCCTGTGTGGGTCTCCCAAAGCACTGAGATTACAGGCATGAGCCACCACACTCAGCCTGTTTTTTTTTTTTTTTTTAAATGAACACCTGGCCCCTGTCCTTGAGTAGCCCGGGCAATAAATTCTGTTCTAGGATGATGTCAGAACCTAATCTTATGACTGTGATTGGACTGTAAGTTTCAGGAAGGTTAGGACTCCCCACTGCCCTTCTCATCAGCACCTTTGTATCAGTGCCCCACAGGCTGCTCAGACAACTGAAATAATGCAGAAACTAAACTGTCTAAGTCCACTTTAATGGCTCTGAATAGCTCTAAAGTTATTTTTGTCATTTTTGCCTTAAAACAAAAAACAGATTCTGCTACCAGAAATTATTTGCCCCGTTTATTTATTTATTTATTTTTTGAGATGGAGTCTCACTCTGTCGCCCAGGCTGGAGTGCAGTGGCGTGACCTCGGCTCACTGCAATCTCTGCCTCCCGGGTTCAAGTGATTCTCCTGAATTCAGCCTCCTGAGTAGGTGGCATTACAGGCATCCGCCACCACGCCTGGCTAACTTTTGTATTTTTAGTAGAAACGGGGTTTCACCATGTTGGCCAGGCTGGTCTCGAACTCCTGACCTCGTGATCCACCCACCTCGGCCTCCCAAAGTGCTGGGATTACAGGCGTGAGCCATCGTGCCCAGCCACTCACTCTTTAATCTTTCAAGTGAATATGCTTCTCAGTAGAGAGAATTTTCCCCTGCTCACTGTTAAAATGATGAAGTATCCCAAATAGGAATATGACATTGCATTTGAAAAACTACAAAAGCAGTTGAAATGTAAGCTCTGGGGTTACTCAGACTGCTGAAAAGCAAGGTTTCTCAACTGTGGCACTACTGACATTTGGGGCTAGACAGCTCTTTGTTGTGGGGGGCTGTCCTGTAGGTTATAGAATGTTTAGCAGCAAAAATTAAAAATTAAATAACAAAAATAAAAATAAAAAAGAATGTTTAGCAGCATCCCTGGCCTCTACCCACTAGATGTCAGCAGCACCTCCCTTGCCCCCAGGTGTGAACCAAAAATGCCTGCAGACATTGCCAAATATCTCCTAGGAGGACAAAATTGTCCTCTCTTCCACTTGAGAACTATTACTCTAAAATTACCCAGATCTGCTTTGAATCCCCGCTCCACCCCATCACAACCTGGGTCATCTTGGAAAACAGACTGAACCTTCCTATGCCCCCCGCAAATTCCTCAACTGTAACATGGAGCTCTTGCTGAAGAAATGCTATGAAAATTAAATGAAATGATGTACGTACAGGATTTACACGCACAGAATATTCACCGCGCCAGAGTGAGTGCTCAATAAATGGTCAGAAATGAGGGGAGGCTAAAAAAAAATAATTTCGAGAACTCAAAAATCTTATCTTTAGGCCTCCAGAGTACTGTAGTCTAGACAGAAGAAATGGTTGAGATAGAAACAAAAAGAGATGAGAGAGGTTGGAAAAGAAGTGATAGAACTAAGGTATTATTCCCCTTATCTCTTAAGAACCCGGCTTGGAGTCAAAGCCAATAGAGGTTCTACTTAGTTTTTGCCTATCTACTCTAACATTCCAAATAATAAACGAAAAATATGCCCAGATCCCAAAAGTCTCCAAAAGAGAAACTTTGTAGTATAAACGAGGAATTTACTACAGCAGACACAAAAATACTAAAAGCACCAGACTTCCACAGCATTGTCTTAGATTTAGGAATCCAAATAACACACTGAAGTTCTAGAGAAGCAATCATGATAACTGCATAATCTTCTAAAGGAAAAACTAAAGGCTGGCTTCTTAAAAGTTCCTAACTGAATCGTTCCAGGTTTCTTTATCTCTAGTTTTGCTCCACTGGACAGCTTCTGAGAGTACAGGCAATGTAGGGATTTTCCATTACAATGGTGCCAGAGACCAAAGGACAAACACATTTTTTAAAAAGCAATCAAATTCTGCCCATTGATTTTTATCAGGACGCTAAAATCCTATGAAAAGACTTTGGTCACGTGCCGATTTGGAAACTAGCAGAAAAGTTATTCCTCAAAAGAACTGTAGTCACGAGATGTGTCATCCCTTACCAAAAAAAAAAAAAAAAAGGCAATACGTCCACCAACTATTTATTAAGTTCAGCACGTAAATTTCTCATCTTGCCTTTTTACTTACCGAGTTGGAAGAAAAAAGGGAACGCGATCGTGAAACGTTAGCCAGCGTCTGAATCAGATACTGCCCCCAAACCTCCTGCAGCCTCTAAGATTGGCTTTACTTTCCGAATTCCTCACCCAAGTGGTCATAAGACATCGAGCAAACACGTTCTGCTTAGGTGGAACTTCAGAGGTCGCCAAAATCAAGTCGTGGGAGCGCCTTTGTTTTCCCTACATTAATCACTCGGGTGTAGGATTTGGTTTGGGGACTGTGGATGTGCGTCCCGGAGTGGTTGGGGAAAGGCTGGCGTGTACGTGTGTTCCCAGGTGACTGGGTGTATTTCTCCGTGTGTATGTGCACGGGTGTCCAGGCTTTTGTATCTCCCTCTCTCCAGTGTTTGTGTGCGTCCCTGTGTGTGTGTGTTTCCGTGTGTCCCTCTCCCCAAAGGTGTGGGGACCCGTCTTTCCTCCTGCGTCAGACAGCAGGCAGGGAGACAACCAGCCGTCCTCGCTCCCGGGGCGGCCTTGTGACCCGCGCTAGCCCCGCGCGCACCGCACCCCACCCCAGCGGCCCGAGGCCCTAGCCGCCCCCTCAGACCCCGACACCCGCGCGCTCCGCCCGGCCCCGAAGGAGTCCCGAGTCCCGCTCACCTCGCGGCCACACGAAAGACGAGCCGGGAGCTCTGAACCGGCCCGTGTGGGTGCAATGAGGACAGAGAGAGGGTCGGGGACCTGCACAGCAGGAGGCAGCGGCGGTAGAGCAGCCAGGTTCCAGGTCCAGCTGCTCCCGTCCAGCGCGGAGGGAACAACATGGCGACGGGCCGGGGCGGGGCGAGGAGAAAAGCAGGGCGGGGCCCCGGGAGGCGGGGCCTGGAAGGCGGGGTCCCGCGGCCGAGGCCCTGGGAGTGGGGCCCGTGGGAGGTGGAGCCGAGGCAGGCGGGGCCTGAATCGTGCTTTTCCTTTGGGTCGATTGCTCCTCAAGTGTCCTCCCGTCTGTGTTCGGGCGAGAGCGAGTACGAAATAACTGTCATTTTGAAAAGTTTACGTAAAGTGGAAATAAACAGACCTCATGAGCACAGTCACAGGATGTCGTGATTACAATGATAAAAACGACTAGGCAAACGGACAAAGAACAAACAGGTAGCTGAAAAATGAAAACAGTTGTGATATTGTGGAAAAACAAGAACTTTTTAAATGAAGCTATTAAAACTTTCCTTTAATCTTATTAAAATACTGCCTCCGTCATCTCTAAATAGAAAGCGATGGTGCAAAAGTGGTACTGGAGGAGCTCTCCTTAAGTCCTTGCTTTATGTGTGAAGTTGAGTGCATGAATCCTATGATACAGAACCCTGCAAGTGGGAGGGACTCATAGTGACATCTCAATACATTTAATTTGTTTGTGATTTAGTTTGTTTATCAGAAAACCAAATACTGCGTGTTCTCACTTATAAGTAGAAGCTAAATGATGAGAACGCATGGTCACATAGGAACAACAGACACCAGGGCCCACTTGAGGGTGGAGGGTATGAGGAGGAAAAGGAGCAGGAAAAAAACTAGGTATCAGGTACTATGCTTATTACCTGGGTAACTAAATAATCTGTACACCAAGCCCTCGCAACAGGCAGTTTACCTACATGACAAACCTGCACATGTACCCCTAAACCTAAAATAAAAGTTGTTTTAAAAAGATTTAGTCTGTTTATTTTCCAAGACAAAGATCTCACTTTTATGATGTTGGGGCCCATAACAATTTAAATAATCTCCAGCTCTCTGGGGAGTCATTTTCAGGTAATGACTTTTCATTCAGCACTAGAAAGGTCATATTTGAGAAAGTTTCTCACAAATTAAAAAGGCAATTTTAGAATGCTTCTGAAAACAACGCATAAGCTTAAATAATTTTTTTCTCATAAACAGAAATCTGTTTCTTATCTGCAGGTCATTTCCCCAAGGAAATATGTATAAACGTTTATAAAATACAAATCTGTTAAATTGGGGGGAAGAAGAGATATACATTATCATTTTTAAAACACACATTAAAAGTACACCATAAAACATTATATATGAATATTAGAGTTAATTTTCCAATAGAAAAAAAGTCATGTACCTTGGGCCAAATTGCAACAAGCAATCCACAGGATAATTAAAGAAATGCTACCTGAAAATCATACATCCTAACCATAGTCAAGGAGTGATAAAATAGGAGTTTATCTGTGCAACTGCTAATACCAACTAGCTATTAACAAGTGATCTCATGAAATTATTGTATTTTGAGTTAAAGTAAACCTTGACAAACCCAACAGCTTTCATAAAAAATGTTCTAAGAAGGTCCCATGAGTGACTCTTAGGCTGTTCCAAAATGTAAGAAGGCATTCAAACATATTTGAGTGTAGCTTATAGTACCTTAAGAAAGAATAAGGAAAGTTACTTTCTCTAAAGTTACTATCAGTTGGATACTAGCCAACTGACATTTAAGAATGTTAGTATATTCTGGTCTCTTCCACCATTCACTTCTTAACCACATTTCTATGTCAGTGCAAGAGTAGAGTGGGTTAAAAGATTTTTCTCTGAAGGGCAAGTTTGGGGGATTTTTGTTGTTGGATGTGTGTGGTTGGTAAGCTGATGCAAGTTGGATAAACAGTTGCTATCTCTCTTGCTCCATAAACTTGTTCCTTGATGAAAACATTAAAGAACTAACCTAGTTTGACTCCCTTCATCTCACGAAGATTTTCATCTTTATATTCTGTAAACACCAATGCATCACTCATGGGAGAGAAAGAGGCCAAGGTTGCTATGCATAAATGATTCTTTAATTTAAATGACACCTACTTATTACTATGAGTCCTGGGAGTTAATACCCCATCTCAAGCTGGAGACTGAAAGAAATCACTCTGGCATCTCTGATGAAAAGCTACAAGTGGCCGGGCATGGTGGCTCACGCCTGTAATCCCAGCACTTTGGGAGGCCAAGGCGGATGGATCACGGGTCAGGAGTTCGAGACTAGCCTGGCCAACATGGTGAAACCCCGTCTCTACTAAAAATACAAAAAAATTAGCCGGGCGTGGTGGCGCGTGCCTGTAATCCCAGCAACTCAGGAGGCTAAGGCAGGAGAATCGCTTGAACCCGGGAGGCAGAGTTTACAGCGAGTCAAGATCGTGTGCCACTGCACTCCAGCTTGGGCAACACAGCAAGACTCTGTCTCAAGAATTTAAAAAAAAAAAAAAAGCTACAAGTAAGTGGGCCCTAGACTCAGGTAAATATTGATGATAATTGGACTGCTTTTACTTTCACGTACAAGGAAAAACACAGAACTCAGTTGTAGGCTATTTCACCATTATATTACATATGTAAATAGTCACAAATTTGATATTTTTCCAAAGTTGTTTGGCAGAATAACAGATTTGGTCATAATGTTGCATAGATGTTCTTCTATACCTGTACTAAGAAGGGGAAAAAGCATAAAATATACATAAAAGTAACTCAAAATTTGTTATATTTGGCTTTAAAGTCAAGCCAGAGTGAAAATTCTTAACAACATATAATGTTAAGTGAAAAAGAACATTACCAAATAGTATATGGAAGAAAAATCCCAATTTGGTTGAGGAAGCATATTTTATAATACATAGCTTTTCAACATATATTGATGTATTTAATAATGCATTTATTTATATACTTACATATTTATATAATATGTACATCTTCAATATTTTATACCAATGTCACACTTATCCAGTTTGCCTAGATACTAAGTTCAGCATGTTTCTTGCACTAATATAGAACTTTTGATAGTGATTCTTAAGTCACATAAAATTTCAATGTATAAGGAAATGCCAGAAATTGGATTTCTTCACTGCTATGCTTAAAAAGGAGTTCTCAAGTGAAAATGAATAGGGGCATCATCCTTAATCTAGATATCACCAGTGAGCAAATTTCAGAATTTCCAGACTCAGATTGATGTAAGCAAATGAAAATTCTGGCCCTCAACCAAATAAAACATATATTCTTTCATGAGTCCTATGAATTCTATCCAGTGGACACTGTCAAATGGCAACCTGGGTGTCAAAAGCCATTGCCATTCTTCCTTCTGTCAACCTACACACTGTCAGAAGGGAGGCGGGCATGGGAGGCAGGAGCCAACACAACTCACACCTCTCAAGTTTGTGGGTAATCACCACGCTCACCCAAATCCCTCCAATGCCCACAGCATAGACACACATTTACTGTCTCTTCCCTTGGGTGATTTTAAGATTTGCAGGAAATGAAAAGTCAATTCATGTTAATACTTATTTATTCAACAAATATATAGTAAGCATGTACACTATGCTAGGTGCTGAGAATACAGCAGTAAATAAGACATGGGAGGAATTCAGGGGGCGTCCCCAGCCACCATCCTCTTCTCTGAGGACAAACACCCTCCTCCACACTTTGGCTCCCATCCACCAGCTTTTTAAAAATGTTATGTGACTTTATCTTGGTGAACAAAATAGATTCAGTTCCTTTTCTAGGAGAGCTTAGAGAAGATTAGAGGAGACATTCAATAAGTAACTAAACAAACATGTAGTTACAAATGGACTGCAGAAAATAATTTCAAGGTGCAGTAGGTGGGAATATAGGGTGATGATACCAGAGAAGGCAGGAATGAGGAGGTGACTCATGTCGAGCCCTAAGAATGAGCAGGCAGCAATGGGAAGGGCTGTGGAAAGAGTAGTACAAGTTTCGCAAACAAGGTCACAAATAACTTAGCACATAGCAGCTTTCAATAAATCTTTCTAAATAAAGAAAACAGACAAACTATTATTAAATCTTCACAACTGGTGGAAGAACTTAAAATTGTAATACTTTCTCTAGCAAAGCAAGATCTAATGTATTCTCTTAAAAATAGTATGTGTATGTTGAATAGTGCTGTACTTTCTTGACCACACTCTAAATATAATCTAACTTAGTTAATTAAAAAATGGCAAAATGGAACAAGCATTAAAATTCAGGAATGAAGTGAAGAATTCAATCCCTTTGCTGATTTGCTGATGAACGTGGGTCAAAAACTGAACTTAACCTTCAAAGGCAATGGAAGGAAAATCGCATACACACCATGGTTACAATTATGTGAAAAGTATATGTGTGTGTGTTTGTATGAGTGTGTATATATGAGTGTTTATATACAAAAGAATGGAAGGCAGCAAGGAAAATCAAAGCAGTTGAATCATTATGGCAGTAGGATTCTGGGTAATTTTCATTTAAATTTTGGATTCCACGTTATAATATTATTTTGGGCAATAAGTGGAAGTTTTTCAATGAAGCAATTTTAAGAAACCTTTAAAAGTACTTCATAAGGCCACACAATTTAATCTTTGTCTTAGGCTATAATGGTTAGTGAAAGGCAAAATTCCAGTTATCTTGGCAACTATTTCCTTCAGACATAAGCCCACACAGACATGGCCAAAACCATATGTGCTGCTCCTAAGACTCAGGATAGTGACGCTGAAGTGTTCCTCTTCCAGCGGCCCCATGATCTTCTATCTAAATACCCAGTGCTCATTTGCAGCTTTCTTTATTTTTTGGTTTAAGAGCTGAGACTGCCATCACTCTCACATAACCAGCTTCTTATCCTCTCACCTCCCCTACCCTCACTCCATCCATAGGAGTATAAATAATCCAAGCAGGTGCTGGATCCTACTCACAGTTATAGCTAGGCTCTGGCTAAATGAAATCCCTGATTAAATTTGATAAATCCCTCACTCTCTCTGCCTAAAAGTAGAAAGGGTGAACCCTCACTAGTGGAAGACATTATGTGGAGCATTTCTGTTTCATTTATATACTATGTCCCGCATTCATTAAAAAAGT